ATGGTACTTGTGACATGTTTAGACCAGTAATAGAAGTGTGAGGTAAACATGCTATGCTTGGAGAAATCAAAGCATATAAAAGCATCTGCACATAATTTTTTTTTTTTTTTTTGTGTGTGTGTGTGTGAGAGAGAGAGAGAGAGAAACTTACCCCCAATGTGCATGCTATAAGTCCAGGCTTCTCTCTGTAATCAATCCGCACACACAGAAGAAGAAAAGCTCCAATATACCAAGGAACGGTACCAAGAAAGAAACCAGAGATGAACCTTGCAAACAAAGTCACCAAAATATTAGAAAGTAAGCCAGCATTGAAATCTTTAGTCAATCTTACATGAATCATAAAATTGAGTTTATGAAAATCCGGTCATAGAAACACCAGAAAAAGGCAAAGCCCTTAGCGACCATCACATCAGGTTTTTGATATTGCTGAGTTGTTAATCTTGTGTGCTTACATTGTTTCCCCAACATCTAACCTACCCATCTTTATTTATAAAAAATATTTAAGACTGAGAATACAATAATGGGAAAGCTCTAAATAATAAGAAAAGCTGAGTAGGATTCCATGTATCACTTTTTATCAATCTAACCACGATATATAACGAAAACTAAAAAATGAGCCTAAGAGAAAGTACAACAATAGGAACTCACAAGAACCAGCCAATCCCCATGCCACAGCAAGGAAGCCGGTACTCCCTTACAGGTCTACCTTCGGCAACAGCATAACCTAAACCATAGTGAAGCAACATATTAAACATGGTATATAACATCTAACATTAACATAATTTTTGAACAGCAAATATCTGTTATTCAGCCCAGTTAGAAAATAAGATTTAGAAAGCATTTAGATTGCATTTCCCGAGATTTTCATAGACAAGATATATAACTAGTTTAACATTCTTTCACGTGTAAGTTAACCATAACATTTCAACTCCACTTTTACAACTTCTGGTTGCTTCAAGAAAGTTGGCAATCACACATATAAAATCTAAAGTCAGAACCCATTGATTAAGGATTCAACAAGCTTTAAATATGCTAAGAAGGAAAATCAAAATAGCATGATTGAAAGAAAAAGAAGCCTTTCAACAGGTAATATCAATCAATCCTTCCATGATCACTCCTATTACTAACAACAAACCAACAGAGAAACTCAGAGAACCTGACTGCGAAATTCCTTTCACTGCATCCTCCAATACACACCACTAGATGTTCAACCGGATATAAAACTTAAATCCACAAATCTGCAGATTTGTCGAGACTACAAATATACATACTTAAAAACAAGGAGTTAATCAACCTACAAAGTTATAGCTGAATTTACAGATGAAATTATGCACAAAATACGACTTTTTTATAATCGGAAGTATCTGCATCCTATCACAATAAGCCTGTGTTTACAAAGATACTAAAATTGAGAATAATATTGCTGGTATCAACATTAATGTTTCACACTGGACCCATTAATAGAATTGGCTAGTTTCGGCAATCAGTATTCTGAATATTCATCAAGCATCATACTGAGATTTTATTCCATTAAATATTCAAAACAGAGAAACAGACAGAATTATCAACAAACATAAAAGAAAAAATTATGGAAGCACCAGTAGATAGATGAAAGTGTGGAAAAACACACCGTGAACAGTTTGATAACCATGAGGATAGTAATGAGGAGGAGCGCCGGAGGCACCAGGCGGAGGAATGGGCTGAGGAAAACCGAACACCGGCTGAGACTGTGGAGGAGGAGGAGGCGGATGATTGGCCACTCCTTGAAACGTACCGTAGTAATAGTTTGGCGGCAAGGGTTCGCTGGTGGCCGGAGAGGCCCTGTTTTTCCCGCCTTCTTCACTCATCCTTTCCACCGAGATAGAGATCGAGCAACGGGTTAGGGTTTCGGGATCAAAGCGAAGTCGTATTATTGCTGACGCCAATTGATAGAATCAGATCGTCGTGGCGGTGTGATCGGCGATTTTGCGGTCTTTGATTTGTGGTGCGCTGACGGTTTGCTGTTATATATCTCAGCTTGGCTTAGCTGGTAAGTTTCACGCCAACGCGTGGATATAAAAATTTGTCTTGATACAAGTTTATATTTATCAAATTTACGATTGCTGTTATTCTCATCTAATCCAGGTTGGTCACACGTGATGAAGTTTGTGCCTGACTAAAATATAATCAACTGAGACAATTTACTAGTAACACTGTCATTATATTAATTTTGTAAGGTTAACACGAGATTTGGTTGATCAATGACTTGGGCTTTACAATATACTCGCTCCGTTCTAAAATTTACGTGAACGTGTTTGATTGGACACATAGTTTAAGAAAAAATAAGATTTTTTAATTTATTAACCTAAACAAGTCAAAAAGGGATCCAGAATATTTGTGTGGTTATAAAAATAAGTTATCATTAAGGGTAGAATTGAAAGTTTAAGCTAAATTATTTTCAAATTTAGAAAGGGATCATTTTTTTAGGAGCAAACTACAAAAGAAATAAATTCAAATAAACTAAAACAAATGGATTTTTTTGTTTCATTTTACATGACACGGCTTTCTTTTTAATCCGATTAAAGAAGATAAACATGTTTCTCTATTTCCAAACTATCTTAGTTTTAGTGAATGACATGACATCTATATGCCCACATCATATTAAGGGTCGTTTGATATGAGGTATAAGAAGGTAAGGTATATCAGGTTTGGTTAGCAAACTTGGTATAAGTTTTCTCGGGATTAAAATTAGTACCGGCATAACTTATACCTTGTAGAAGGTGGGTAATTAGTGCCGGGATAACTTATACCCTCTTATTAGAAATTATGCAAATTGTCATTTTAATACAATATACCAAACAGTGAATAAAAAACAATAGCGGCATAACTAATCCCAGCATAACTTATCCCGGCCTAAGCCATATTCAAACCAAACGACCCCTAAGTGAACTTTTGATATGTTATATAAATTTAGTTTATACATCAAAAGTATTATTTTCTTTCTTTTTTATAAGGCTTATTTTCTTTCTTAAAACTCTTTCTATTTAAAAAAAAAATTCAAGTCGCACCAGAGTCCACATACGCAAAGAACTAAGAAACCAAAAGAACATTCAAATTAAACCAGAGTCCACATTTGGAAAGAATTATGAATCAAAAAGAAAATTACTTATGGGAAGGAACAAAATCGAGTGAAGAACATGGAACACACTGAAAGACCTAATGAAGCAAAAAATATAACTTGAGCATATTAGACGCAAACATAAACCCACCATTGCTTACTCAAGCACAAGTTGATCAGTGCAAAATAGTTGACAATCTGATACAAAGTAGCTGATACGAATTATACGCTGTAATATGAACATCATTGCTAGTATTTCCTAACTAAAAGTATGTCAAAAAGTTTTTCATGCCATCTCCGTTGTTAGCAAAAAGGGGCAGCCAAAATGTCTTTTACGCAATCCTATATAGCCAAGTCAAGCTTCTGAGGGTCAAGTGGTAGAGAACTTTATATTCACGCCAGCCCTACATTATCAAGAAAAATAATGTCAGTAAGTTTCTTCGAATATCTAATCTATCAAGTCAAAATTATATTGATTTGAGAGAGAAATCCCGCACACTAGTTCAATATCAAAAATACTCCAAAGATATACAAAGACAAAAATGTTCCACTAAACGTACTAGCAAAGATTTTAAAGATAATGCATGTATCCAGAAATTCTAAATATCCAATGCATAATGCTAATTTGCTAATACATAAACCTAATACTTTCAAGAGAATCAAAATTATATTTCAAACAGAAGCACCTCTGCTATGCCATGCACCAAATAGCTTAGAATATTATGTCTAGAATAAGATCCCAAAGTAACTACAAGTCAATTCATCTATTAAAGACTGCAAGACACAAGTGAACCAAGGAGGAAAGACGAGGACAGGATGGCAAGACTACGAAGTTTGCAATTGGAACACAAAACTGGAAATTCAAATCACAGCGTATAATTCGTCTCAGCTAAAGAAGAGGTCCTAGTATTTCCTATATGGATGTGTCGGACTACATTAAGAGAGTGCACATTCGTCCAATATGGTTAGCAATGACACAAGTAGCCAAGCCTTCCATTGATAATAAGCTTTAGTTTATCAACACTAACATCTATAAGACTAACATCTGTACTTGCATATTCAAGTTTAAAAGTTCATGGATCAGGAATAAAGAATTTTATTGAAAACACTCACCAAAAACAAGAAAAAGAGCACCAGAAACAGAAAGCGCAAAACCTCTGGCTCGATTGACTAGATAGGTAACAGAACTATTGCAATCACCAATAGGACATGGTTTTATTAGTTTTTTCTTTTCTTTTGAAGACTTGATTCTGTTAGTTAGAGCGATACAGCAATCCAAATGCATTATTTCAGTGAAACTATGCTTATGGAACAAACTACCTCATAGTTTTACAGTGTCAACAAATAGAATTATAACTTCAAGGATCTAGCAATCATATTACTATGTCTATTGACCTAGTTGTCTCTTCATAATGAAGTCATTGGATATCGACCTCAACACAACTGATGCTCCAACAAGCAAACACTACGAAAGCTGAAAAGTTTCTCTGATCATTCAAATGTTTCTGTTGACAAAAAGGAATATCTTGTATTGACAGAAAATAAATGGGGTGAACAGGAAGTTGAGATCCTCTGGAAACACTCTCGACACGCACTATGAATCTTTGAAGCCAAGCCTACATCTTTTCAAACAATTCCCACTATGAAAGACATGAAAGGGAGAAAAAGTTCCTCTTATTTTTCAAGTGGGACACGAGAAGGAAGCATTTTAGCTCTTCTTTCATACTTCTATGTGCACATGTAAGCCACCCTAAAAAAAAGTTCCTCTTATTTTCCACCAATTTCAACGAGTAATCCAAGAAGTTGTTTGGCTGACTAACCATAAAATTGGACTGGGAAAATAAGAGAATTGCATACAGTGAGAGAGATATATATTGTGACTGATTCCACACCACAAAGCTATTTACAAAATATACTTTCTTAGATGGGAGATGAAAAGAAAACTTGTTAAGTTGGNCCCCATCTCATTTGGCACCCTCTTCCAGCTGAAACTCTTGGTTGAAAACATTTCCACTTCATCCGCAATCATAGTTTCTGGTCCGAAACTCTGAATACTCAAGACCAAGAAGTCATTCTTTTGTGAATCGTACGCCAATCCGATGGAGACACAAGAGTGCGTTCCAATAATGGGTTTGCTTTTCGAAAGCGGCACATTCCTAGACTGCCTCATAGCTGGGTTCCAAAGAATAATGACATCACCCAAAGGTGTCTGACAAAGGCACACAATGCCATTGCAAGAACCCACAACCACCATATTTTGCAAGAAGAAAGGGAAAGGGTTATCAAGTTCTTCCACAACTGATGATGACTCGTGGGACAGGTTGATTAGTGAGAGTAGATGATCAGAGGACTCGGGATGGCGAGTGTGTAAAAGAATGGGTGAAGAACCGGTACTGGGCTGCAAAGAAGAGGAATGGAGGAAATGGGTGTCAATGAAGTTGGGTTTGGAAATGAGTTTTCGCCATGGCTTGCAAACGCACCTGAATTGTAAAAGGGTCTTCACAGGGAGACGAGAAAGGATATCAATGATGATTTCTCTTAGTAAAATGCAGTTGCATGTTGCGTCTGGAGCTCTGTCTTTTGTTTTCTTGGATTTACCTTTCTTCTTCCCCTTTCCTTTGCCTTTAGACGGCGGCATTTTAGCTGGGAAGTGGCCGGAGGTTGAAGATGAAGAAAGGCGAGCCTAGCTTGTCTTGAGAAAGAAGAGAGGAAAACGGTTTTAGAGGGTTTTGGATATAAGGTGAAAACTGAAAAGCAATTGTGTATATATAGTTGCACGTTCAGATTAATGATTGTTTAACAATGGAATAGTCCTCTTTTCCTACTTATTTGGCACCATCTCGTCTTAAATAATTTTTTTGTAATAACGACGATATCGTCTTAATTGGAGTACTTGCATTTTACTTTTAAATGATTTAATTTAGTAGAAACTAAAATTAAAATGATAATGATTTATTTTATTTAAATAAACTTAAGATAGGAGTTTTAAAATATGATAAATATTTATTAACGTACTAATTTTTATACTAAATAATCTATTCTCTAGAATCCATGAATCACAAATCTATAAAAACTCTAGCTGATCAATTTTCCAAAGCAAATAATAAGATCTCGCACTATAATCCTATGAGGATTAAATTATTCCTTAAAAATACTTGTGTAGATAAAATTCTATGTCACGACCCCAACCCGGTCGTGATGGCGCCCAACACAGTGCTAGGCAAGCCCGACCAATTCAACACTCTCAATCCCTCATATAGAGTTCATTACCAATTAACAGAGTTTAAATACCAAAATAACATGATTATGAATCTGTAACAGTAGGTAAAATATGCGGAAATCAAGAAAATAACACTACAAATTCCACCGATCTGGTGTCACGAGTCAAGAGCCTCTAATACAAGTCTGAAGAACAGCCTAAACAAAAGATAGTCTAAAATGCTGAAAGTAAAGAGGATAGAGGGAGAAATCGGGTCTGCGAACGCCATGCATCTACCTCGATGACTCCGGTGAGATCTGAATAGCAGCAATAACTCAAACTACGCCTCCGGAATACCTGTATCTGCACACATGGTGCAGGGAGTAAAGTGAGTACTCCGACTCAGTGAGTAATAGCAATAAATAATGACTAACGGAAAGAAATCTCGTAAAAAGCACTAAGCAGTTCTATATCAAAGCAGTAAGAACATTTAAACAGCAACTGAATGAAGAATCAGGTAACAATCCTTTAAGCTAGTACTCAACTCATTTACTTCTCACGATAACCGAAATCATAATTATACCGCTGCGGTGTGTAGCCCGATCCATATAGTATATATATATATATATATATATATATATATATATATATATATATATACTGCTGGGGCGTGCAGCCCGATCCAATAATAATAGTCGACTGCGCTCACTGGGGGTGTGCAGACTCCGGAGGGGCTCCTACAGCCCAAGCGCTATACTACTGCGACGTGCAGTCCAATCCATATAAAAGTACTGCTGCGGCGCGCAGCCTGATCCAATAATATACTGCTGCGGCGTGCAGCCCGATCCATATAAATATATACTGCTGCGACGTGCAGCCCGATCCATATCATATCAAATACCCTCATTATGGGGTTCTCAACCCCTCTCAGTCACTATAAACTTAGCCTCTCAGGCATACTAAGATAAGATAGGGATCCCTGCCCACATGTTACTCTCCTTTTGGTTTAGTTATTCCAAAGCCGGTTCATATTAGATTAAACAGTTAGAAACATGACTGAGGGTAGATTTTAACGAGTAAAGTGAGGTCAATCATGTACAATTACCCCTAAGGGTTCTACAGGTCGGCACAAGGCCCCAAACATGGCAACTAGCCCAAACTATAATGATATAGCTTAAGTCTCAGTCAAAAATACAGTAGATCATCAATCGGGATGGACCAAGTCCAAATCCCCAGCAGTAATGGACCCCACGCTCATCATGCAGCGTGTGTCTCACCTCAACATAGCACTACGTTGTGCAAATCCGGGGTTTCAAACCCTCAGGACACCATTTATAACCATTACTCACCTCAAGATGGCCGAAGTCCTAGCTCGCTATGCCCTTGCCTCGCAAATCAACCTCCTCGCGCGTCGAATCTGGCCAAAACCACAACGAATACGTTAGAATAGGCTAAGGGAATATAAC